TTTCCTTTCCTTTTCCTTTCCTTTTCCTTTCCTTTTCCTTTCCTTTTCCTTTCCTTTTCCTTTCCTTTAGTTTCTGTATTTTTCATTTCTCTGAAATAGCTTCCACGTGGAATCCAGTGCATTATTTCCCAGAGTATGTGTCAAAACCAGATAGAAAAACAAGTCAGAATGGGCTCCTTAGGCTTCATCTGAGAACAGTAAAAAAAATCTGTGTCTTACTGCTCCTCAGATATTTCTCTTTTAAATTTATGGAGCTTAACCATACTCTGGTTGGAAGAAGATTGACTCACATTTACAAAATGTGGAAAAAAAATTAGCTTTTACTGTCTGTGATCTTTATACAGTACTTCTTTTAACGCAGAGTTTGTGGTAAGGATCTAAAGATATTTGCTTAAATTTTTCTTTTGCTCTGAAGAATGAACCAGTTTCTTTATATATGTGGTTTCTCAGGAGAAGGCTCTAAGTTAAAACATTAAGATAAAATATTTTAAAGGTGAAACGTGTGTTATTTTACATATGCTCTTGCTGACAATGGCAGTGGAAGTAGCAATGGCAAAAAAAAGAGAGAAAAAAATTAACTACTGTGCTCTTGGATGACTATGTTTGAAATCAGAATGTTTCACAACTTATAGGATGCCAGATGTCAGATGGACTTTCACAGAAATTATATCTATGCTTTATTACTTTCATCAAGAAAATAAGTATTTCTTTTGGCAAATAACAGAGATCTCAGTATTAAGAAGTTAACTGCAATTATGTTTTATACACATCTGTTAATATTAACTGTAGGTATTATCAAAGAGAGTGAACAAAGGCTGTAATGTGAGTTAATAAAATGAGAGACAGCTGGTACTGAGCAGAAGAAACAGTGACAGACTGCATCTTCAACTCTGATTATGAGAGGCAGGTCCTGCAGAAGCTGGCAGCCCATGGCTTGGAGAGATACACTGTTGGCTGGGTAAGGAACTGGCTGGAGGGCTGGGCCCAGAAAGTGGTGAATGGAGCTAAATCCAGCTGGTGATCGGTCATGAGTGAAGTACTCCAGGGGTCAGTGCTGGGGCCTGCCCTCTTCAATATCTTTACTCATGACCTGGATGATGGCATTGAGTGCACCCTCAGTAATTTTGCAGATGGCACCAAGTTGGCTGGAAGTGTGGATCTGCCTGGGGGTAGCCCTACAGAGGGATCTGGACAGCCTGGAAAGCTGGGCTGAAGCCAATGGGATGAGGATCAACGAAACCAAACGCTGGGTCCTGCACTTTGGCCACAACAACCCCAGGTAATGCTACAGGCTTGGGGCGGTGTGGCTGGAAGACTGTAGAGGAAATGGACCTGGGGGTATTGATTGATGCTTGGCTGAACATGAGCCAACAGTGTGCCCAGGTGGCCAAGAAGGCCAATGGCATCCTGGCTTGCATCAGAAACAGTGTTGCAAGCAGGAGCAGGGAAGTGATTGTCCCCCTGTATTCAGCATTGGTGAGGCCACACCTCGAGTACTGTGTCCACTTTTGGGCTCCTCACTGCAAGAAAGACATTGAGGCCCTGGAGCAGGTTCAAAGAAGGGCAGCAAAGCTGGTGAGAGGTCTGGAGCACAGGGCTTATGAGGAGTGGCTGAAGGAGCTGGGATTGTTCAGTCTGGAGAAGAGGAGACTCAGGGGAGACCTCATTGCTCTCTGTAACTTCCTTAAGGGAGGTTGTAGTAAGCTGGGGGTCGGCCTCTTCTCTTGTATATCTAGCGATAGGACTACAGGGAATGGCTTCAAGCTGTGCCAGGGGAGATTCAGGCTGGACATTAGAAAATACTACTTTTCTGAAAGAGTGGTCAGGCACTGGAATGGGCTGCCTAGGGAGGTGGTGGAGTCACCAACCCTGGAGGTGTTCGAAGAACGTTTGGACGTTGTGTTGAGGGAAATAGTTTAGTGAGTACTATTGGTGATAGGTGGATAGTAGGACTGGATCATCTTGTAGGTCTTTTCCAGTCTTGGTGATTCTGTGATTCTGTGCCTGAGTCATGTGGTCTCCCTCTATGACCTCATCTCTTATGGCAAAATGACCTGCTTAGAAAATGGGGGAAAGAGTGTGAATATTGTCTATGTGGATTTTAGTAAAGCTTCTGTCACCATTTCTCACAATATTTTTCTAGCTGCTCATGGCTTGGATGTGTGTATAGTTTTCATCACTACTAAGATGGCCTGCTGAGTATTGTGTCCAGTTTTAGGCCTCTCACTACAGAAAGGACATTGCTGGTGAGGGGACTGAAAAACAAGACATATAAGGAGTGGCTGAGGGAGCTAGGGTTGTTTAGTCTGGAAAAGATTGAGGGAGACTTTATTGCTCTCTACAACTATCTGATAGCTGGTCTTTTTTTTCTGGTGACAAGAGATCAGATGTGAGGAAACAGTTACAGGTTAGGTTTATATTGGACATGAGAGTGATCAAATTTTGCACATGGCTACTCAGGAAAGTGATGGGGTCCCCATCAGTGGAAGTATTTTAAAAGATATATGAACATGGCACCAAGGGACAGAGTTTAGTGATGGGACTTAAAGTTAGTCTCAAAAGTACATTCAACACACTCAAATTCTGTGAATTTAAACACAAGGGGAATATGTTTGGGCAAGAAGAGCTCCTGCCCCACAGATTATGCTGAAAACTGATGGTTGAGATGGATTAATGAATCAATCAGATAGGGAAGGGATCTGATGGGAGATGAGTAGCATTGGAAGTGGTGATGTTCAGGGGCATTTTGTAGGGAAATGAAGATATCAAACAATGGGAACTTGGACTACAGGCAATGATCCTACCCAATGTTCAAGAGACTAAATGAATGCAAATACAAAATACAATATAAAAACTGGGGGCAAGCCTCCCGAAATAATCTTGATGAAACTCAGTATGAGCCCAGGTACAGCATTTTTAGGAAAATTGTGAAATACTTGAGGAATACTTCCAAAAGAATTGTGAGAGCAATTGAGAATCTAGAAAACTCAGCTTAACAAAAAAAAAAAAAAAAAAAAAAAAAAAAAAAAGAGTTGATGGGGAAAATCCAAAGTGCTAAGAGGGAGGAAAATATCTATTCTCTGTTTCTAGAGAAACAGATAATGGCTAGAATATATAGCAAACATTTAAAATATACTAAGATTAAACAGATCTTCTAGTGATGATGACAATGAGGGACAAAAGTATGTAGTTAAGGGGCTTTTTCCTGCAGGAGGATGTTTAAGAACAGACAGAAAAGGCACTGACTAATAACTGAGCTAGAGCCATTTTTTTCCATGGAGATGCAAAGGTGAATTGGATAACCTCCTAAGATCTCCTTCAGCCTTTTGATAATGATTCTAGTATTATCTAAATCCTTTGTTATTCAACTTCTGTTGTAATGATTCCAGGATACAGTGACATTTTAGAAGCAATAATGACCTGAGCAGACATGGCTGCTTTCCTCTGTAAATACTAAAGAAAACCTGAGTTTTCTTGTTTGCTTTTCTTGTTTTAATCCTTCCCTCTCATCTAGTAGAGTAATAAAGATATTGGTGAGTTCATCCATGCAGCATTCCTAGCCTATTCCTTCCTATGAGGGAGAGGATGGAAAATCCTACAGTGTACAAATTAATTAAATGTAAATGAATTTTGTTTGTTTCAACATTATTCATCTCTGTTTTAACATTCTATTTGAAAATCTCCTACCATAGCAGTTGTTGCCTGAAGTTTTGCATCTGACACGAGAAAGCGATGTCATAGGCTACATAATGCTTATAGAAGTGCAGCAGCACCTGAAGAGATTGCTAAATGCTTGCTGTGTCTGTTTTTCTATCTTGAAGCAGCAACAAGAACTGGAAACAGAAGATAGATATGTTTTTAAAAAATCTTTGTTGCTCTTTTTTCTTCTTTACATTGCATTTTTACAAAGGAAGGAAGTTAGGATTTTAACAGCTGTAGTATCATATTCCAATTAAGTCTTATGGCTTTCACCATATTTCATACGACCTAGAGATTATCAAGTATGGATAAGAAAAAGTCAGAAAAATAGAAAAGAAAGTATTGTTGCAATGAAAGCTTGCCTAACGGTTTACATTTCATGTGCTTCTCATAATTCCATTTTGCTTCAAGACTTTTAATTTTTTTTTGGTGATTTTTTTAATAACCATGTCATGACTGCGTTGTCCTTGATTCTGAAAATAGAATTTATTTTGAGTTTAGCCTATTACATATTATAGGCTCACATTTTTATCAAAACTAAGAATCCCTAAACACATCAGGCAAGATTTGTAGTTGACAAGACTTTCAGGAGCAAGACTATTCTTGGGTCCATTTCATTGGAGAACGAGGGATGAGACTACAAAGAGGAATAGATTCCTTCTACTTTCAGCCTTTCCACTATTTTAGACAGCTGTGTGACTACAATGGCCAGTCATGAAAATGTCTCTTTTAAAGGCATAACTGAATCTGTGATGATGTACCCAGACTTTAGTGTTATAAGTTTCACGAGGTTCAGTAGAAAAAGAAAAATTACAATTGGTAAGTTATTCATACCAAAGCATGTGAAAATAATTGTGTGAAGAAGTTCAGAATTTCAGTTATAACTTATCTGTAAAGCTAAACTAATAGGAATTGTGCAACGGGAGAGGGAGAGGGAGAGAGAGAGGAAGAGGAGAGTGGTTTAACTGACATTTATACATCTTTGATTGTCTAGAGCACATAGATGGAATGTGAACAGGGACGAATTAAATATCCACAGAGAAGAACTATATGTGTATTTTGCATCTTGAGATCTCTGATTCTACTGAAACAAAAATAGATGTGAGAGAAGGAAATAGTAAAATTACATGTGTTGAAGGATTGAAAAGTAATGGGGATTATTAAAAACAGCTAATCAAGTTTGGGAGGAATA